AATTTGACAATAGCTAAAGATATTTAAGAATGAGGCAGATGGGCTGGGAAGGTGGCTCAGTGGCAGAGTGCTTGTTTTGCATGCATGAGGCCCTGGGTTTGATTCCTCAGCACCACATAAGCAGAAAAAGCTGAAAGTGGTGCTGTGGCTCAAGTGATAGAGCGCTAGCCTTGAGCTGAAGAGCTGAGGCATAGCACCCAGGCCCAGAGTTCAGGCCCCACAACAACAACAACAACCCATTCATATTTCCCCATATATTTGCTATTTTTCTTGCTTTTTGTTCGTTTACATAGATGCAAAGTATGAACTAATACCATTTTACCTGTGCTGGAATACTTGCTAACAATGAATCATCTCGGATTTTGTTTGCCTGAAAAGTTTTAAATATATGTCTGTTGTTATGATCTGGCATGTCTCCCAAAGGCTCATGTGTTGACAACTTAGTCCCAAATGAAGCAATGTTTAAGGTGAATGAATCAGGAAGATTCTGACCATTAGTGGATGAGTCCATTGATGGATTCATAGTGAATGTATTGAATGGGTATTGATGGATTAATAGCTGAATGAGGTGATGGAACCTGCAGGAAGTGTCACCTAGTTTGAAGAAGTAGTAGTGTTCTCTTGAAGGGTATATCTTATAAAAATCAATGTCTCTCTCTCTCTCTCTCTCTCTGTCTCTCTCGGTCTCTGCTTCCTGACTACCATAAGTTGAGCTTTTTTTTTTTTGTTGGTCGTGGGGCTTGAACTTTGGGGTTGGGCGCTGTCCCTGCACTCTTCAGCTCAAGGCGAGTGCTCTACCGCTTGAGCCACAGTGCCACTTCCAAGTTGAGCACCTTTATATCAGCAGTTCATGCTATGATGTTTATCTGATGTCAACTCAGGCCTAAAGCAATGGGGCCAAGAGTTCATAAGATATATATAAAACTAAAGGACAAGAATCTTTTCATTTTTTCCCTTCGTATTCTATTATACTTTTAGAAAGCTAACACACCAATTTAAAAAGATTTTTCCCTCCTGGGGATACAATTCTAGGTTGCAAGTTTCTATAAGTAGTTTGCAGATACTGATGCATTGCCTTTTGCTCTGCATATTTGCTGACTCTTTTTTGTATTTGTTACTCTACAAATAATTTCTTTTCTAGCTACTCTTAAAAATTCTCTTTAGCATTTATTTTCAGTATTTTGATTATGAAGTGTGCTAGTATGGTTTCCTTTCGTGTTTTGTCTGCCTGAGGTTTATTATGCCTCCAAGTTATTGTTTTCATCACATTTGGGGAAACAATCATTAGTCAACTTTTTTCCGTGACTTGTCCTTCTTTTTCTCTGGAATCCAATGTCAGGTTGCCTGATGATTATCCTGCAGCTTGCTAAAACTGTTCTTTTGATTCACTATTAGTGTTTTTCCTTCTGTGGCTCATCTCGGATAATTTCTATCATTAATAATGTTCATTAGTTTTCTTCAATATCTAATCTGCTCAGTGCCAACAATGAATTTTTTGTTGTTGTTGGTTGTGGGGCTTGAACTCTGGGCCTGGGTGCTGTCCCTCAGCTCTTCAGCTCAAGGTTGAATGCTCTACCACTTGAACCACAGTGCCACTTCCGGTTTTCTGGTGGTTTATTAGAGATAAGAGTCTCATGGATTTTTCCTGCTGGGGCTGGCTTTGAATCACAATCCTCACATCTCAGCCTCCTGAATAGATAGGATTACAGGTGTGAGCCACTGGTGTCCGGCTAACAATGAATTTTTTTAAATTTCAGATTCTAATTTTTTTCATCTTTAGAAGTTTCATCTGGTTTATCTTCTCTTTTCTTTTGTGCCAGTACTGGGGGTTGAACTCAGAGCCTTTAACTTGCTCTTGCTTGATTTTTTTTATTATTGTGATTAAGTGATTACATAATTTCCCAAATTTCACAGTATTGTGGGATAGTGATGCTCAGTTAAAGTCACAAACACATTCTAACTTTCCTGGAGCAATTTGTCTATCATGGTCTATAACATTTATGAGTTCTATGAGCTTGTGATACAGTTATTTCTTCCACATTGGGTGTATGTACATTTCTTTTGTTTTGCATAGCATCAGCTATTCCCTCTTTCCCATTTGTTCCCTCCCTCCCATCACTGCCATTAAGTTGCTTAGTTATTTTGGTCAATGTCCTGTGCAGCTAATGGGTCCCGCTGATTCCCTCTAGTTCTGTGTCATCTTCCTGGTTCCCCTCCTGTGTACACATATATACCATACATGTGATCAGCAGCTTGGGGTTATTTAGTAGTGATTCGACCAGATGAGTGGAAGTTCTTTGTTTCTCATTGCTTGACTTTTTTGCTTATGGCTGATGCTCATCACTTGAGCGGTGCCTCAACTTTTGGCTTTTTGCTGGTTAATTGGAGACAAAAGTTCTGTTTGTCTGCCTCAGCTGGCTTTGAACCACAATCTTCAGATCTCAGCTTCCTGGATATCAAGGATTATAGTCATGAGGCATCATCTCCTAGGCCTCCCTTCCTTCCTTCTTTGTGCCATCCTGGGGCTTGAACTTGAGTATGGGTGCTGTCCCTGAGCTTTTTTTGCTCAAAACTAGTTCTATATCACTTGAACCACACTCTACTTTCAGCTATTTTTGGTAGTTAATTGAAGATAAGAGTCTCCCAGACTTTCCTACCCAGGCTAACTTTGAGCCACAATCTTCAGATCTCAGCATTCTGAGAATCTAGGATTACAGGCATGAGCCAAGGGTGCTTGGTTCCTTACCTTGTCTCTTGAAAATATATATTCTTGGCTGGGGTTTGGCTCAAGGGTTATAAGTGCTTAGCAAGCATTAGGCACTGAGTTGAAACCCCAGTATCACATAAAAAAGTGCTCTTGAATGTGTTCATATCTTTGTTAAAATAACTGAACACAGGTATAATACTTGATTTAGAATCATTCTGTGTTATAATATCAATGTCTTTATTTTTCCTCAGTCTGTCTTTACTACTAGATATTTATCATGGTTAAAGGCCATGATTTCCTGCTTCTTGACAAGCCTACTGTTTTTTTTTTTTTGACTGAAAGCTGGATATAATGAATTCTATGTGTTGAGATTTTACTATCTTCCTTTGAAGAATGATGGGCTTTGTAATAGCAGGAAGCTAAGTTATTTGTATTCAGTTAGATTCTTTTGGGGCATGTATTTATACATTAGTTACTTTGAGACAAGAGTAGCTTTTACTGTAGGGACTATCCCATTAATAAAGCTCTCTGGAACTATACTGCCCTCAGCATAATCCACAGATTTCTCCATTGTGTTTGGCTGAAGCCTGTGTGCCTTCCAGTCTTGGATAAGCTTTGAGAAACATTCAGTCCCAGGTGGTTCGTTGTCTCAGGTTGTGGAGTCTTGTACATATGAACATCTTATGATTAAGTAGAAACTCAAGAAAACCTTTATAAAGATCTTTGGAGCTCATTTCTTTGTAGATCCTGTCTTCTAGAATTATTTATAAGGTCTGGCTTTATCAGACTTGTTAAATTGTGATTTCTGCCTCTTCAGTGTAACATGACAGATGTACTCTGAATAGGGTTCACCTTCTTGCTCCAAGGTCCCAAAGAAGAAAGCCAGGGGATTTCAGAGCCCAAGTCATGTATTTCTCTTCTATAGGGGTCACAGTCCTGCACTACTTGTTGCCCAGTATCTAAAATAATTGATCCACTTATTTTTTCAAGTTCCCTAGTTCTTTCTTTCAATAAAGATTAAATCTAGTCTTAGTATCTATCTATCTATCTATCTATCTATCTATCTATCTATCTATCTATCTATCTATCTATCTATCTATCTATCTATCTCTATATATCTAGAAGTGGAAGTCCTTTTTTACATTCTAAAAACTTTGGGAAAATAAAAACTTTGGGAAAGTGGTCTGACAGTTCCTCAGAATGTTGACAGAATGACCATATAACCCCTTTTGTGTGTGCTAATTACAGACACAAAAGAGCTGAAAGCAAGGACTCACACAGGTATCTGTGAAGGTATGTGCATAGCAGCATTATTCACAACAGCTCAATACATTCCAGATACCTATCAAGTCATGAATGGATTATGAAAAGGTTGCATATACACCAATATTTTGTTTGTTTTCAAAATAAGATCTCCCTATGTAGACTAAGTTGGCCTAAAACTCATGACCTCCTTGATCCCAGCCTTGAATGCTGGAATTATATTATGTGTCCCACCATGGCTGGGGGAAAGGGAAGGAGAAATTATTGACAATACTGTTTCAACAATGTGTACATAATAAAGGTCGCCAAGTTACATACCATGAAACAAAATGGCAAAAATAAAAAATAAATTTCTATCTATAATGATTTCCCAAATATGCTCTACATATTCCAAAACAAATCTGACTTGTACCAAGTATTTGTAGTGCTTGATTTTAAACAGGATCAGCTTGATATAAAGGATAACATCAGCCAAACTGCCAAATCTTAGATGGAAATAGAGAACTGCAAGTTAGCTTTCTACCACTGAATTTCCTGAGTGTGATGGTTGTATTTCGTTTACACAGGAGAATGTCAATAGATACATACACACACATTCAGAATAATGGGGTACCAGGTTACAGTTTACTTTCAATGGATCACAGGAAAGAATGTAATAAATTTGGAACTTTTATGAAAATTTTTGATGGTTTCTAAATTAAAATATATAAAATGAAAGCAGTAAGAGTAAAAGCAGCCATACTAACATCACAGCAAAAGGTGGTGTATAACATGATAAAAATTTCAACAAAAATAGAAAAAGTATATAAAATATTAACAATCAAGAAATGTATTTAAATTTTGAAAAGCTTGATTTAGATGCTGAAAGGTATTTGACATACATTGGCTGCAGTACCTAGCATGGAAACATGCATTGCTTTACAGAACAGTAAGAGAGGAAGATAAGAGAATCAAGATGGAACAGCAGGCATACATGCACACTTATTACAAACACTTGATTAAAGAGCAGCCAACTATGAGGGATACTTACACAATGGTTTTTCCAATGTGCATAAATGATTTCTCAACAAATTCACGGACACTATGGACTTCTCCCGTAGCTATAACAAAGTCCTCTGGTTCATCATTCTGCAACATTAGCCACATAGCCTAGAGAGACAGAGAGGCAAAGCTACATGAAAGTCATACTCAATGGCCACTTTGGGAGTACCATACTATCAAGTGCACATAATTGGATATAAACATGTGCAGCTAGAAAATGACCAAAAATGTATTAGGTTATTCTAGCCACTCCAGTGATGGCTCTCACAATTAAATATGCATCAGAAAACATCTGGGGAAACATCTTGACATGGATGCCTGAGCCCTAACAGAGGCATGGGTTCAAGAGGAATCTTTACTTTCAGCATTCTAGAAGGTTCTCATGGACAGTCCTTGAACTGGAATTTATAGGAACAAGCTGTTCAACTGTTATCTGTGGTGAATTTTCTTTCTATATGCTTATGAATGAACAGTTAGTTACAAAAGCATTGTCTCACATGCCATAGATGGCAGAGGAGGAAAAATCATTTGAATACAAATTATAAGCTGAATCATTACAGTTTTTAAAAGTTTACCCTCATTTCTTAACAAAGAAGTTGAAATTTTACCAATCAAAAAACAATGAGAATCATTAATTGAGAAACAAACACACAAAGAGTACTACTATTTAACTGGGTGGCAGTGGCTTATGCCTATAATCCTAGTTACTCAGGAGGCTGAGATCTGAGGGTTGCGGTTCAAGGTCAGCCCAGGCAGGAAACTCTGTGAGACTCTTATCTCCAATAAACTACCAAAAACTGGAAGTGGTGCTGTGGCTCAAGTGGGAGCACTAGCCTTGAGCTGAAGAGCAGAGGGATAGCACCCAGGCCCAGAGTTCAAGCCCCAAAACCACCACCACCACCACCACCAACCAAGTACTACTACTTATTTGAAGTACACTGAAGGGTTTCATAAGGTGACATTTAAAGGTTAAGTAGTCATATTCCATGCTGGATGTATTACTGAGAGGCAGTCATTCAACTGGTCCTGCAAAAATACAGCAGTATTCTGGGACATAACTCTAGTTGATTAGAAAAGATTGTTTTTTAGCCAATGGCACATATGCCTATACTTTCTATGGCTTGGTATTGTACAATAATGTTAGAATTTTTTCTAAAAGATAGAGGATGACTTTTTTTTAATTAGGTGTTGGAATGGCACTATTGGCTCATGCCTATAATCCTTGTTTCTCAGGAAACATATCTGAGGATTGATGTCCCAAGCCAGTTCAGGTAGACAAATCTGAGGAACTCTTATCTCCAATTAACTAGCAAAATATTAGGCATTTTGATGGTTAATTGGCAATAAGAGGTGAGGCTCAAGTGGTAGAGCTTCAGCCTTGAATGAAAAAGCTAAGCAATGAAGTTCTAGTTCTGGCAAAACAACAACAATAATAACAAAAAGTAAGTGTAGCTTGTGTCTTATAGGAGTATATCTTTTTAAGATTATGTGAGCCAGAGTTTGGGGTATAGCTTGATGATAGAACACATATTTAACATACAGAAAGCTCTGGTTAGGTATGCAGCACAAAAAAGAAGGACAAGCAAAATATTTTCTTTCCATCATTTCCAACCATTTCTCAGAATGAGGTAGGTAAAAAGAAAGTATGTTTCATTCTGGCACTGTCTTCAGTTATTCTCAGTGAACTCTTGTTCTGACATTTAATGAAACATTTTGGTTAGTGTCTCCCTTACTGCTCCTACAGGACTGAAATTAGTCTCATTTCTCTTAGACAATGCTAGCAAAAATTTCACTTATATTTTTAAAAACTTGTGGCACCCTTCTAAAAATAACATATATATATATATATTTACCTTTAGCTTGGAATTATTTATTGTATCTTTTAATCTTGATCTTTTAAGAAATTGTTTTCAATGATGCTTTTGGGTATATGAAAGATAAAAGTTTGGACAATTTCACATGTGTTGTAGTACAACATGCTGGCTAGGATAAGAGCAATCACTTCAAGTCACTGATACACTGTAAAGTAACTGGCAGAGGAAACTGTTTTGGCAAAGAGACAGTTTTGTTTGCATTAATAAAATATTTGCACTTATCATTTTACATTAAGGGATCATGGTTGATGAATTTTTTATAACTTTTTAAATGTTATACTAGTACTATGATTAATAGAGCTGGGTAAGTTTTTAAAAGGCACAAAATAATAGCTGTGATCTTAATGGAGTCTTATAGGGCTTGGAAGCCCCTGCTCACTGTTAAAAAAGGGTCTTAGAGGAAGAGCCTTTCAAGCTTCATGCCACAGCAGAGAGCTGGGACTCCTCATAGGTCTGTGCCTGTTCATGAGTTCCTGAAACAGGAATTTGCTCTCTCTCCTCATCTGTCTAGGAATGCTGACCTCTCCTTCCTGACCCTGCACCAGAGTCTCGTCTAGCCATCAGAATGAGTTCCTGTTGTCTTGCTCGGTTTTTCTGTGACCAAGAGCACATGCATGGTGGCCTGACTGGGCCCAAGCTGCCCTCTGGCTGCCCTTCTGAACTATGGCGACCTTCTCATTCCTCCTAAGCAGGCTTCAACAGGAACCTAGGCCCAGGCACCCACATACGCGTATGCGTATACATACAATTTCTTTTGGCTTTTATCAAAGTAGTTTAAGAATTTTTGGGAAAATTTAAATTATACTTCTGGATAGAATTTTGTTTGAAAATTTTCTCTGAGGGATTAGATATAACAGGATAAACACAGTTAAGTGCGTTGGATTCAAATTACCATTCTAAAAATAACTTTTTAAATAGGTCTTTCAGGCATTGCTGAATTTCGTTTCTTTAGGAACATTCTGTTATACTAGAATGGTCGCACATACAAAACAATCTTATTTATGTAAAAGAAAGCACAGGCTCAAAAAATTGAAAGGAAAAAGGTATTGTGTTTTCTGGTCAGTGGTCACTCTAAACATGGCCAGACCCCTGGTGCTTATTTTGTTCCCTGTAGGAATCTGGGGATCAGTTGGATCCTTTTGCCTGCACAAGAGCCAGAGCCAAGGCTCTGTTCTTTTTTTTTTTTTTCCATCAGGCTATCTGTGGCCTTTGACCTATCAATTTCTAGGAATTTCCTCTAAAGTTCATATTGTACCAGACTCCGGTCTGGGAGTGGGAAAAAAACTATATACAATTCTAGATTTATTTGTTATTACTGAACAGTATACTACTTTTAACAGAAGGAAAAGACTTTGTTTAAATTCCCATGAACATAATTAATGGTTATTGACTGGTAAATGAAGAACAGGTGACACTCTGGATTAGAAGATAAATGATCCTGTGTTCTGGTGTGATAATGGGTTAGTAATTTGCCACAAAGCTGAGGCCCAGTGCATCCCATAGTAATGCCAGTTCAGATTTGGCAGACAAAGGCCCCTATGTGAGGAGGGCCTGGCCACTCGCTTCTGTGTACAGCTGTACATGTTGATCTGCTCCATTTGTTCTCTGATGGATGGCACAACTGAGGCAAAAGTTCACCCATTCTCACCTTCCTGTTCACATGTGGGACCACATGACCCATGACACATTGGGCCACAGGCTGTGAGCAAATTGCCACCCAGCTTTGGCTTCCAATTGCAGAAACAGTCTTGAGGTTACAGGTTTTAGACATCAATCTTCTTTCTTTGTCTCTCAAGGAATCAGTGAGTAAAGAGACAGTGTTGTCTCCTGCTTTCTTTTGGTGCCCTTTAAGGATGTGACTGAGTTATCCACTTCCTCAGACCCATATTTACTTACTGATTACTAGTGCACATGAAAATAATCTCCTGCTTTCTCATCCAAACCAAAAGCTAGTGCACATGAAAATAATCTCCTGCTTTCTCATCCAAACCATAGGGAGAAAAGCAAATCAGTTAAGGAATGCATCAGGTCCTCAGACTACAACATAAAAATGTCCCTAACTGCTGAATGAACAGTGCAGGCTCCAAATCATGTCTTGCATTCATTTTACATTTAAGGCACATGAGGATTGAATGAAATGTGACCCTATATAAGTGATATCTGATAGTTGACATAAGTTTAAATATTAAATTTGTTCATATATTTTACTATAACTACATAATTAGCCTACCTGTTCTACAAATCTAATTTAGAAAAGCCAAAATACAACTTTAATTTTACATTTCAAATAAAAACACTGTCACATATCCACTTCGGTCATTCAAATGATGAACATGAAAGTGGCTCATGAAGCCCTGTGTGAAGAACCAGTCATCTTCGCTTATTAAGTTTCCAGCATTGGTGGCCTTTCACAGCTGGATCAGTGAAGGAGAACACCCAAAGTATCCACCACAAGGAATCACCACAGCTGACTGACTACACCTGATTCCATGCATGCCTTTTAGGGTGTGATATGGGTTTGTCTTAAAAATCTGGATTCTACGGTTGCTTCTACCTCACCATTAACCTCCATCCAGTTCAGTATCCAAGCCGCAAACACTTATTAACTGAGCTGGCATCCATGAATAACAAGATTTGTTAATCAAGGTTATATTTAACTATGTGGATTTGACTGCTGCTTTTTTCAGGTTTGTGCTTTTTTGCTTGACATGCTACTGTCATACAAAGACGTTAAAATAAAATTTTAGATATGTGAGTATGTGAACAGATATATTTCAGAAGAGAAAGTTTATAATTCTAATAAAAACAGTAAGGGGCTGTAGCTCAGTGGTAGAGTGCTTGCCTTGTACCCAGGGTTTAACTCTTAGTACTAAAAGGAAAAAAAGTTAATGTAAAAATGGAAATAAAATTTCAAATGAAGGATGGCAGGTGCGGATCCCTTCACACAGCTTCACTTAGGCTTTATTCAGCATCTGTCTTCAGGAAGATGGCCTGGTAAGTTTAGTTTAGGCTAGCACCTCCAGTGGTCCTGTGGTAGGCGAGGTCCTAGACTTTGTGGGACCCATGTAGGTGAGTCTCAGGTTTAGTTTGCACAGTACCCTCTTCTCTAACAATTTTGGGAACTAAGAATCAAATGATCCCATTAAAACAAATAAAAACTATATCAACAAAAATCAAATAGCATAAAACTAAAGCCAGGTCTATTTTCCTCTCAATGTATTCAGTTTTCATGGC